GGCAGGAGGAGGGGTGGGGTGTGTGAGAGAGGTTGTGTTGAGAGCTCAGTCATTGGATGCCAAACCTGGGTTTGCGTTCATTATGCCTGACTGTGGTTTGTTGCCAGGGTTTGCCGTGGTAAGGTTGTTGCCTATCGTAAGGTGCACTGGTAGTTTGCCTTTGAGGTTTTTGTTGGAACCTCTGATAAAAGGTGTAAGGGCGGCACAACTGAGTGCGCTGAGGGCATTGTTGGTATGTGGGGTAGATGCCCCAACGCCTGGTGGTTGTTCTCTTTTTCTGGACATTTTCTGGAATGTAATTTGTCTCGGCATTGAAGAGGCCAACTCCATCGAAGGGAAGGTCTTTGATGCGTGCACGGGTATCCTCTGCAAGACCAGTATTTCTAAGCCGGAGAATCTGCGAAGTGCTGCAGAGTCAGCCATGTATTTTGATGTGGCGTCGACAGTGTGCCTAGCCACTAGCATCTGTTGCTTAGCTACTGAGAGGTCTTCCTGTTGAAAGGTTTGGGCCAAGATCCTTTTATCTTCAGGAAGTGCATCAATAAAGGTGGATATTTTGTCCCAAAGAAAACATTGGTAGGTGCCCATAACTCCATGGTAGTTGGCGACTCTCATGGTAAAGGCAGTGGAGGAATACAGCCATCTGCCCATGAAGTCGATGTTCCTACTATCTTTATTAGAAGGTATGAGAACCTATCGATGTTGAGAACGGGATTGTGAAGCATCGACCAAGATAGAATTAGGAGCAGGCTGTTTTTGTAAAAAGATACCATCAAGGTCATGCACCCAATAAAGATTGTCGATGCATCTCGACACTGTGTGTGATTATGTTGGTTTGGTCCAGGAGCATTTAGCTGTGCTGAGGAGAGATGGAAGCATGGAGATGTGGACTGGTGTAGTACTGTATTTCGAGATGGGATGATAAAGATGATCAGATGGCTCAACAGTATGTCTATGTATTTGAAGTTCGAGGGACTTTGTCGTATGTACCATTAGCTGAGCATAAGTTTGAAAATCCTCAGCTGGTGACAGGGGATCCACGTCTGCTAGGTTGGATTCAGGTGAAGTTAAAAGTACCAACAGTGTCTGAGGTCTGGAACTGTGATCAGACTTTTTGGCATCATGCCGTGAGTTGATCGACCGTCAACCGATATCGGTGTCAAAAAGCTGTTCATCAAGGTATTGTCAATGTCGAGCTGTCAACATCGAAGGTACCTCAGTTGACAGCAGTCGATATCGAGGGTCATCGATATCTATGAAGTCGATATGGAGCTGATGTCAATATGGAAGTTGATGTCGATGTCAAGATAGATGTCCGAAGTGGTAAGGGCATTGATGTACCATATTGGATGACAGTGGAATAAACAGACGCTGGTGATGCTGAGTGGGATGAGTGGTCATGGTAATCTGGATGGGCAGGAAAATAGTAGCTTGTTGGTGCCGCAAGTATGACCGGAGCTGAAGAGTGTTGATCGGCTCATTTAGGCTTCTTTGGCACCAACTTGATAGGAGGTGCCTGATAACTTTGGGCAATCATGATGGTATTATCACTTCCATATCGAGGATTCCCATGTAGGGATAAAGTGATCTGGCAGTGCCTCATCATCAGAAAGGGAGCCAACACAAATAAGTTCTCTGGACTCAGGTGGCTGCAGAGTCAGAGTGGAAATGGCTTTGGAGGGTTTCGACTTCGAACTTTAGTCTTCTTCGGTGGCGAGGGTTCAGGTGACAAGGAAACATCGGTGAACAGTTTGTGTTTAGTGGCTGTTTTAGATGTCAAAGCTTTCGACATTGAATGTTTAATTTTGTGAGCCCGTGTAGCAGTCAATAGAGTCAACGTCAAAATAGGTTCTTAATGTTCAGAATGAGAAGGAGTAGCCAAAGGCACTGTTTTACCACCTTGGAAACAGCTTTGTCCATGGCTTTAGCGTGGGGTACGGATTTGGAGGAAGGTTGGGCCATGGGTTTAGTAGTCTGGAGAGACTGCTCCCAAAGCCAAAGTTTAAGTCTAGAGAGGAGACTACGGAGAACTCCGCGCCTAAAGATTTTTGCAGTGAGGACAAGAAGAGGTTTGATGAGCCTCGCCAAGGCAAAAAAGGCACTTAGCATGGCTGTCAGAGAGTGGATTCTTGTTGTTGCAGACAACACAATGTTTGAACGGGCCTGAAGAGGCCAGGAACCAAAAATAGAGGGGTGGGGGTTTGGCCCAAAGGCCAGAGCAGTATTAAAGAATAAGAATTCGAATGGAAGGGATTAAAATAATAAAGGTTAAACAATTTTATTTTTCTGAAAACTCACAGAAGCTACGATAGAGGCTCTCAGTGTGGTGGTTGAAAAGTAACTGAAGGGAGAGCCTTGGTGCCAAGGTACATATATCGGGGGGAGAGGGGTCTGCACGAATGTATCTTTTTGCTACTGCAAAAGCTCTAGAATATTTCAACAAGGATCCACACATGTGTGGATCACCGAGTGTGATTCAGAGAGGCCCCGAAGGAGAAGCGTATATTTTATTAGTGTTGGATTAGAAATAATATCCTGCACTGCATGCCCACCTCACTCAGTTCTACTATAAGTGCTTAAATGTTTTTTTCCTTCATCTCACATTAATGAACATAAAGTAATGAAGTTGTCAGCATCCTATTAAGGACAGTCTTTGGGAACCTTGAGGCTGCATGCAGCCTCATCCAGCCCATAAGACCCATCCCTCCTTAGACTCACCAGCCTCTTCTCCTTCCATACTGGCTGCAGGAGGAGGACCTTATGTTCCTTGTCATTCAGAATGGAAGCAGCCAGGGTATATGCACGCTCACAGCCCTCGCTGCAATTTGGATCAATAAACCCTATCTTTTGCTCCAACATTTTCTTTTCTCAAATTGCTGGTGCAACCCAATCTAGATGAGAACCCTGGCATGGTTGGCTTTAACCCTTCATCCCCCATCATTTTACAATCTGCAGAACCCCGGCATGTGCAATTTGCACTGCCAAAAATGTGCCGTTATTTTCAATGGCATTTTTTTTTGTCAAGGCACAGAGGAGCTGATCAAATTTGAGATGAGAGAAGAGGGGCTAATCTTCCTTATACACTCCATGCCATGTTCCCAAATTGCAGTGTAGCCCCAATACCTCTTCCTTGCACTGGATTAAACTTCACCTAGAACAAATAGGATGTAGTTTAACCCAATACAAATTGCAGGGAAGGATGGAGGGAATGAGAGAAGAAGGAAGCATGGGTGCATATGTGAGCACAGAAGCATGGGACACAAACAGTGTGTGAGTGGTCGGAGGCAGGGGAAAAGACTGTGTCAATGGACGGATAGATGGTGCCTGTGTGTGGAAGAGAGATCTCTTTTGAATTCTTTGCTTCTAGAAACACTAATTTGCACATTTAATTCCATTACAGAGACAATGGGAACACCATTGCAATTTGTCTTCATTGTGCCTTTACAGTTAATGAACATTTTAATACAATCCTCATGGTGCCAGTTATTTAATATCGAAAAGCAAGGAAGAAATGTAATTTTAACAAAAGCAATTTTGGCTTGTATCCTCCCCTCAGGAGTTTTTGAGATACAACATCCTGAATTAAAAACCTGACATCAGGATCATTATTTCAGAGGATTTAAACCTGTCAACTCATTAAGCCTTTATGAGGTCACAAAATCATCAGTACGTACTCAAGCAGACAAATCATACTCTCTTTTCATCCATCAACTTGCATGGTAACCAAGATGACTGGGACTCAAACAGCTTAATAGCATTCTGTGCAATGTCTTAGAGCCACACAGGTCTCCTTCCTACCATCCCTCTAGAGATCCTAGAACAGCACCTGAATGTTGAGGGGCTTAAATTGGCATTCAATGGAACATAAATGGTCTACTACTAAAAGCTAGGAGCACGAGGCATGTCCAGTGAGTAGCTTAGGTCCCACCATGGGCTCTCTCTTTATTATTTTTGCTCATGTATGCCCAAAAGGACCTCAGCCTCTGGTCTTTAAAGTGGTGCCATGGCTCAGCAGTACAGAACAACCTTTATAAAGCAATAGCATTTCCAAGTAAGTTTAGAAAAGTATCCTAGATCATTCCACCAGTGTGACCCTATACGGAAAAAATTTGCAACAAAAAGTTGCTATGCTTTGCATCTCCAGCCCTCAAAAGGAATGTCACTGTTCAGTGCTCCCGCGAGCTTGAAACCAGTAAGTCCTTGAAGTTCTGTTTAGGCATTGTAGGATGAGGAGTTTCAGAAGGAGAGAAGGACATCTCCCTCCTATCCTATTATATGGAGCCCTTTTCCTGCTGTGCTAACAGGCTTCTGCCCTGAGACACCAGACAGCCACGGCCACTCAGGGGCGGACCATACTGAGCTGCTCAGAATATAGAGCTGCATGGACAAACAATCATTTCTCCTGCTGTGCAAACAGGCTTCTGCCCTGAGACACCAGAAAGCCACGGCCACTCAGGGGCAGACCATACTGAGCTGCTCAGAACAGAATATAGAGCTGCATGGACAAACAATCTGATCTCCTATAAGGCAGCTTCCTGCAACCTTAAGGAACTAGAAGGCTCTGGTTTCAAAACTGACCATTTTATAGCAGTATGAAGGAATGGGGACAGGCCTTGGTTATACAGCAGGAAAGGCAAATGGTGTTATTTCCCCTTCCCTCCCTCCTGGAGCATTCATGGTAAACACACCCACTCACCCATTCCACAACTCCAGTTCTTTCCCATACGGTACTTACTAGAAACCTTTAAAAGCTCCAATAAGCTAATTGCCACTTACCTTTCCCCCACCTTTCTCCAGTTTTCCTGTTCCTTCAACTGACTCCTCTATATTTTACAAGGTTTTTGACAAGTTATTTTTTCACTATAAATTTACAAACTGAAATGCTTCTGCCCACCTAAGGAGCCCCCGTTTCACTCAAAAACTGACAAACATTCAATTACAAGAAGGAATGATACTTGAAATGTTCAGGTTTTTGCAACGTCTCTTGAAAAGACACCTACCAGAATCACAAACAGTTGCGATGTCCCCCGTTGTTTCACTAGCGGATACTGCTGTTACAGGACTCTTGTGCCCAGCAAGACTTTGCACGTAGCAGAGCCTGTAAGAATCAGTTTCATGGTTAGATTTCACCATTGTTAGCTGTAGTAGTAGTAGTAGTAGCAGCAGCATCTTTTAAAGGCAACATATGGTTTATTGCACCTGCTTTCCATTTCAATTAATTGATCAATTTTCACTAAACTATCCCTATCACTTTTCTATAGCACCAGCATAGTAGATCTTGGACAGGTGAGACAGACATACAGCTTAATCATTCCTTTTACAATCAATGATAGAAAGCAAATCAAGTCTAAATTTTATTTAAAACTAAATTTTAGTTGTTGCATAAATAGAAAAACCAACAATTTAGATATTTGTACCTGTTCAGATCCCATATGATGCAAGTTCCATCTTGGCTCACACTTATCATTATACTGTAGGGCTTGCAGACAAACAAGCTGGTGATCTCTGCCGTATGGCCATACAAATGCACCTGCCATTCCATTTCAATCTCAGAAGGCTGCAATGAATAAAATCACAGTAAGATCCAAGTTTACTAGACATACTGTAGGTGTGAGGGATAGGGAGAGTAAAATAGCGTACTATAAATTAGTTTTCAGGCTAGATCTTACGAGGTACAACTTTCAATATTTATATTTTATTTGGACCTATATACAGCATTTTATGATTTCAGTGCTATACAAAGGTGATTTTCCATTTCATTACTCAAATGAAACAAAACAACAACAAAAGAAAAAACCCAACAAATCCACCAATATACAGTGAAGGTTGCTCCAAGTTCATGACAAGAGCAATCATACCACTTTACCCTGGAGTGGTTGGCTTACATATAATTAGTAGGCTGGCATTATCTGAGAAAGGTAGTTTATTCAAATATCTCGTATAGCTATTATCACTGTGGAAAGCTCTATACCGCTGGTTTGTATTCCAGCACATGGGATTCTTGAGTAATTCTTAAGTGGACAGTTCCTTTACTGACATAGTTAAGAACAATCTTTGTCATCAGGAGAAAAAGCATTTCTCTCAACAATACTATTTAATTCCACCTTTTCCTCCCTTAAAAGCCAGAGAACTAATTAAGAAACACGTTTTTTTTTTGAAGGCTGATTAGGACAAACAGCAGAGGTGAGAGATGTTTGCTTACAAATACTGGTTTGTTAGAGCTCTAGAAACAAGATTTGCTACATGTTAACAACCTATTACAGTGGTGCCTTGATTTACGAACGCCCTGACCTATGAACAATTTGACTTATGAACAGCTCCGGCCGCAAAATTTTGCGTCGAATTGCAGCCGGAGCTTTCACTTATGAACAGAAAAAGGCAGAGGGAAAAGGTGGGGAATTCAAACTGTTGGTGGCAAAGACACTGCTTCTTTGTAGCTCTTTCTCCCCAACGGTTGGAGCAGGGGGTCACGGAACTTTTTTACTTCTGCCGAGCAGGAGGAGGAAGGAGAGGCGGCGTGGCTCTAGATCGCTGCCAGGTGCGGGAATCCGGTGTGCTCCCTACCCATTCCTGGCGCGGGCCTATTCAGGAGTAAGCACCATGGAAAGTGCAGGTCTACTCAGGAGTAAGGGCCACCAAAGGCCTTGGGCAGGACACGTGAGTCGAAGGGGCTCCGTGGATGCAATGTGCGGCAGCAGCGCAGAAGGAGGAAGGAGAAGCGGCTGGGCGCCGGTGCTTTGGAAGCCTGGGAAGCCTCCACAGAGGCTTCGGACTGGTAAGGTGCTGCTTTTTCCTTTTAAAAAAGTTGTTCTGGGTGGGTTTTGGAGGGTTGGTTTGGGCTGGGGGGGTTACGTTTCTGTGTTGTTTTGTTTTTTGATGGATTTTTTTTTGCAGTTCCAGCGTGCGACTTGCTCCAATGTTTATTTTTGTATTTGTTTGGTTTTTTGTTTGTTTGTTTTGCAGTCCCAGCGTGGGACTTGCAGTGTTTTATTTTTAAATATATTTTTTGTATTTTTTTCTTCAGCCGGAACGGATTAATCAGTTTTCAATGCATTCCTATGGGAAATGGATGCTTTGACTTATGAACGTTTTGACTTACAGCCACTGTTCCAATACGGATTAAGTTCGTAAGTCAAAGCACCACTGTAATATAATAACTTTAGGACTTCTTTTGCCAATAAAGTAGTCTTTAGGTATATAAATTGTGTACTGCAGCCATACAATGTCACACACTGAATCACAATGCTAATATTTTAGGATAGTACACTAATCTTATGCATAGAAAAGACAGTGTAAAGGGTTTAGAACTGCAGTGTGTATATTTCAACAGCTTACACATGAAGAGTAAGTGTGGTATTTCCTGTGCTGCACTGCACTCAGTTTGTTCCCAGTAATTCTTATTCATTTGGGAATAGAAACAAAACAGATGCTAGTGAACATGCTGTCACACCATATGGCCTCATCTCAGGAAGCTGACTAGACCCAGAAGCTGCACAGAATGCAGAAACACCAGAGCTGTGAGGCTTCCTTAAAGTAATAACACACCTGAGCAGCAATGAGAGGAATGCTCACATTTAGGTTGACCATATTTGTAAACTAAATAAAAGTCCTTCATATATTTTGAGCTCTGCTCTTCTTTACCAAAAGTTCTATTTCCAAATTTTAAGTTTCAAAATCTAGAGGAGCAGACAAGTTCGTCTGGTGCTGACGCTGATGACATTTCAGTGCCAGGTCAAAACCTTCCTGTTCCAGAAGGCTTTTAACTGAAATAATATCAACTGTGGGTCCTGATGGCAATTTTTTAGCGCATCTATTTTAATTGTTTTATCCTTTTATTGTAATTTTATTGTATTTTAATTGTTGTAAGCCACCCAGAGACCTTTGGGTAGAGTGGGCGGCATATAAGTTAAATGAATGAATGAATGAATGAATGAATGAATGAATGAATGAATGAATGAATGAATATAGCCTGAGGAATAGAGATCAAGGTTTTCACTTTATCTCATGCTATTAATCAAGATCTTATATATATATATAAAACACACACACATAATTTTGAATGAAAACAAGTTGTATCTTCCCGAGAAAAAGTTAATCTAATATTCAGATAATCTATATTTTAATTTTTTTGTAGCCATTTTGCAATTCCTAGAATCAAAAGCCGATTCTTAAAACTGAATTGCTATAAATACAAATAAGAAGATAAATATAAGGACCATGGTTGGCAAATGGAAATCAAAGGCATTTCCTCTTCAAGGCCAGAAAAGTACGTGTATCGATAAGAAATATAAAATTTACTTACTGTACTACTAGTGAATCGGTTCATATATGCTGTGATGACACCACATTTGCTGCCAGTAAAAAGTTGACAACTGTCGGGTACCCAAGCACAACTGGTCACCTTAATAACAAGAAAAAGCAAGACATTTATACAGTACCCTAAGTTAATATTCATTGCAACTATGCCCTGCTGTTCAAAAGATTCCTTAAGATGACTTACTCCACAAGCAGTACACTTTAAACATAAATATTTCACTTCTTAGCTTTGCAATTATTTTGTCATGTATACATATGTTTACATGTGCAATAGCTAACTTTCATTTAGAAAGCTATTAATAGTTGATTAATGCAAATCTGTCAAGCATCGATTGATGTATGGGAGGGCCCTTCAGTTTCCTAACTTTAAAGTAACTCCTCTGAGACACATAGGAAGTTTCATGAAAAACATGCAGGGTTGCCAGAGATAGTGCTAACACAGAGATGAGACGCCAAGGTATTTGCATATATGCATGCAGGTCAGGAAAGGAGTGAGTGGGGCAGTGAGTCTAGGCTCACTGGATCAGGACTCATACACTTCTCCTCTTCAGCATCTTCTGTTCATTCACACTCTCATATTATTGTTGCTTTCATAAAAATGTTTTTCCAATGGACTTGCTCAAATGAACAGTAGATACTCTAAATCAAGAATTAGCAGCTTAGTGTATATCTATATAATGAAGCAGTTGTGGTAATCAAGAGGAGCAAGCAAAGAAAGTAGAGCATGTGAATTTAAGACTAACTGGTTTACTGAGTTATCGGTTTTCAGGGATTGGAGGCCATTTTGTGAGGTGCTCACACATATACACTGACAAAATAGAAAAAGCTTTAGAGTTGAGAAACACAGTGGTGCCTCGCATAATGAGCGCACCATTTAACGATGAATCTGCATAGCGATGCGGATTTAGCAATCGCTAATGCGATCGCATACCGATGGTCTAAATGGCCAAAATTCGCTTTGCGACAATCGGTAAGCAAATTTTTTCATCAGCTGTTCGGCGGTTCCAAAATGGCCGCCGGACGCCCAAAATGGCCACGCGCAGCGTTTTCGCACCCTGCCCTCGCTTACCGAAGGCGCGAAAATGGCTGCCGCTATGGAGGAACATCGCTGAACGGTGAGTTTTGTGCCCATTGGAACACATTAAATGATGTTTAATGCGTTCCAATGGGTTTCCCCGTTCCATTTAGCAATGTTTCCCCATAGCGAAGGTTAATCCGGAACGGATTAACCTCGCTATGCGGGGCACCACTGTAAATGCAATATATTTGATAAATGAGCTGTATATTATGAAGTCACACCACAGTAAGTCTATTAGGTCCATTTCATAAGGAACAAATAAGAATTAGCATTGTAACAAAGCATCATAGAGATTTAACAAGCAGGTTTCCCAGTAAATCTCAATAGGGGACGGTGGTTTAAACTTTGTCCTAAAACTAGGACATTAAATTACTTACAGTTTTAATAAACCACAATTTAAGTTCTGAAGTGAAGCAAACAGGGGAAGGAGAGGGGCAACGACAGAATAAGTTAATTTTTTAGCCCGGTTAGACTCATAGCACTACATGTACATAGTACTTTAGATATTAAGATGTCACAAGCTTGTTTGCTTGTTTCTTTTGCTCCAGTGGACTGTTAAGCCTTTCAATGTTTTCAGACATTGCACTTATAGACAGAAATTGCTTTGCACAAGGAGGACAGAAGATATTTACCCGATGAAACTGTGAGCTTTGAATAAAGTTAACTGGAGGTTCACTTTGCTTGCTCTTTAGTCGTAAGATATTGTCAGCATAACCCCAACTCAGAATTGCAGACCACTGGATATCTGTGCTGTGCATGCTTCTAACGCCTGCAAGAATTATCAATATGTTCAGTTTAAGTAGAAGATGCTCATTGTTCTACATTGTAATAAAAATGTCCTTAGAATGCTTGGCTTTTAAAATCACCATTGAAATGTCTCATCAAAAGTTAAAGAGGCATTTAATTAATACAGCCATTTTTAATTTTGGTAAGCTAGTTTTAGGTTTTCTAAAAACATATTTATTTTCTTACTGATCTGAATCCTTGTTGAACAGTAGCTGCAACCAGTTTGCATGTGATCAGAGTATCATGATTGTAACAAGAGACCTCAAACCATATGGAAAGCTAGTTGCTTGCATTAACTCCCACAAGGATCAGGGAGAGATTCTTGTTACATCTGCAGAATCACTTAATTCTGGATGGTTCTACACATGTGAACAAAACTGCTATAACTCACATGGGAGCCACTTCTGTACACAAACCACTTCCCACACACAGTTCAGCTCCCATACAGTTTGAGATCTCAGTAGCAATCTACACCACTCAAATAATACAGTGTTAGATATCCTCTTTTGATGAGTGAAAAGCTGGACAACACAGCAGTGGTTAATTCTATTGGCTTTGTAATTCAACTTCCCAGTGGTTCGCTCAGACTATAATTAAGCTAACATCCTTACCTTGCTCCTTGCTATATATCATCAGAAGGCAGAACTTCCGGGACAAACCACAGATAGCTCTAGTGGGCAGAGCCTGCAAGGAGCCAAACCTTTCTCCGTGTGGCTGGCTGAAGCAAACAACAGGATCTGGGGCACTGGGGGAACCTACATATTCCCCCCACTTTAAACCTTTGATCCAAGATAAAGGACTCTAGGACAAACAAAATGAAACAAATATCTGTCAGTGAAGGAAACATGAAGAGTCCCTGTATCTGAGACTTTTAAACACCACACTGAATACAATTTTACTTAATATAAGTTAATATTCAATAAATGTGTACCAACAGATAAGCTCCTAAAATGAAGCATTAAGAGGAAATCAGGAGGTACAGAACAGCAAAGACAAAAAGGCAGTTCAGAAGGAACAATCCCAATTGAAAAGCCAATTCCAGCTTGCGTCTTGGTTTGCAACAATAAACCCCCCTTTATTTGAACCCGTTGGTGACAGAAGCATGGAACAGGGAATGGAGGAGGGACCCCCACACTGACCTGGTCATGGTCTGCAGAGCTCAGAACATTAAAATAATACAAACAAGAAACTTGAAGCACGAAAGATTTTACGACTGACTGCAGTTCAGCAAAAAGGTCTTCTTGTCCAAATGAAAACAAAAATAGAAGGAAAAACACACAGTGTGCTCGGAAACAGACAATGGAGAGTTAAGTATCAGCTTGCATTTATAATATGACAGAAGCTTTAGAAAGAAATAAAATTCCCTTCCAGGTGCTCCTTTTTCAAGTTTTCATGTTAAAAACAATATTCATGTTCTTTTATTACAGACAAGATACACAAAGAGACACTTGTGAGGGTGCAGCAGCTACACCATATTAAGTTGTGAATAAACTTGAGAACAATATTGACGTACCGGATATGCAATCTCTTTCGTATGCTCCTTTGTTTCTCTGAAGGCAAACTGCACTAATAATCCCATGGCAGCAGGAAGCTCTCCTTCCATAATGAGTTTCGATCCGGGTCTGCTAACATGTGCCGTGTGGAACAGCTGGCGAGGGGTTTGTCCATATGTCTTTATCATTGTCTCTAGTGCTCTTCTTTGAACTGGGTCTTCCACAGCTGACACGTCCATTCCAAAGTAGGTCTGGAACATGAGCCAAAAACAAGGAGGTAAGGTTCTATGGAAAGCAAAACATGAACTTCAAACGTGAGTATCTCTCATGGGCTTGAGACTTTGTAAATTATCAAAACTCTTAAGACGCCCATTTTATCCTCTTTACTTTCCACTGGGCTTCGTTATGATGAGAATAAGGATATACAATACAGAATACTGTATAACAAAGCAGACCTGTGTCTGCAGTGTTCATTCTGGCCTTGTTTCCACGCAGCCTATGACATCCACCTACCTATAGATCACTCTGAACAAACCAAAACCTTAGTCCCCAATGGAAACTGCTAATAATAAAATGTATGTGTTGTTGATTCTAAATTATGGTGACCCTTTTCATGATCTTCTTGGTATAGAATACACAGTCATTTACCATTCCCTTCCTCTGGGGGTGCCCTAGGGCTCAAGGCTATACAAGCCATCTCTTCTCCCAAGAATTGAATTTCTGACCCCTGTCTCTGCAGCCAGGTACCCAACTTACAGAGCTATCCAGGCAGCACATATACTATTTATCTCTTATGTTCTTTAGTATAGTAGATGGAAACTGGTGTTCTCCAGAAGTTTTTGACCTACAACACCCATCAACAATACTATTATAGAACAATACTTTCCTCAAAACCGTTTCCATTTACTCTGTAGAATGAATCAAAGTAAATGATTTATTGTGGTGGCGGGGAGATACTTACAGCAGGATGAAAGACATTGATAGCTTGAACTGAAGCCCTTCCCTTCTGCTTATACCCAAATACTAAATCAATCCAGTGACAGATTGTCTGGGAAACATGATCAGATTCTAATGCTTGACGATGGATCAGGACAAACAGCCTGGGATCATTTCGAGCCCATGGTGGGAGGTTTACATGGTTCACTCTTTCGCCATTCTGACGTACACCAAAATCAAATCCTATAAATATAAACATTTTTTAACTAGATGCCAGAACTGATTTCACATTTATATCTCACCCATTCTCTGAGTAACTCAGCACAGTATACACAATGTGTGTTTTTTCACCTCTATTTTACACTCACAGGAATGCAATAAATTTCAAATCCCTGCTCAGTCTTGAAGCTTGCATTCAAATCTCATCATTTGAGTTCACAAATGGAATATTTTCCAACACTGGATACATGTTTTCAACATTAAAACTCTCAATATCATATTATATAGTTAGCTGCTGTTAAGCTACAAAATGTATTATATCTCAGTTTAGCATTTATTCCCTAGTAGTTAATCTACATTTGCAGCATTCCATTTAGATTCACAGTTTTCAGCTAAAACTACAAGAATTCTAGCTGGGGGAATCCCCGCTGAATTTTGGTAGTTGTAGTGAAAAAATCCCAAAAACCCATGCCTGTTCACATTTCAGTAAAAATCAATACAATTCAAATTCTTCAACTTACAGGTGTTTGGATGAATGTTATGAATGTTATAAAGGAAGCCTCTTTTGAATGAGCTGATATGTCAATGAAGCTTTCTGGAGCTTAACAAATGAAATATGTTACACGACCATCCATGGACCTTGGACAGCCATATCAAATCTCATAATTCCCACCCTCAGTTTATTCCTATTTGTTTAAAACTGAAGAGCCCCCTTGTTCCCTTACATCACTTTAAAAAAAAAAAAGGGGTGTGGGACAGGGGTGCCAAGGATACAAGAAGACACTTCCCCCCCCTTAAGTGCTGGGGATGTCCGGGCTGTAGATTTGGGTTTCTGGGAGAAACTGCATGCCGACTTTTTTTTTAAAAAAAAAATGGGGTGTGGGACAGGGGTGCCAAGGATACAAGAAGACACTTCCCCCCCCTTAAGTGCTGGGGATGTCCGGGCTGTAGATTTGGGTTTCTGGGAGAAACTGCATGCCCTCCACAGGCCTCATCCTGTCCATCCCAACATTAAATTTTAGTTTGGTTTTTATGTGCACAAGCCTTGACTGCATGTACTCCCCCAATCAATGCATCAGGAAAATATTCTTCTCTACTGCTTTCTAGGATCATGCTCTCCACATTGCTGTTCACTAGACACTATACTTGTCTAACACATATGTAGTACAGATGGCTGTGTTCCAAAGGAGGAAACATATGTATAATCACCAATTTATATCAAGCACAGAAAATACATTGATCTTTCACACAGACTGGTTGAAGCTACAGTAGTTTACAATAGAATATCAATAATCTTTCATGCATATGTACTTTCTACACATATCGTTGAGTCTGGTTTGATTATTCCTACAAAGTTCATATTTCAGAGTGTCAAACGGTTCCTGGCTCCTCCTTCTATTACTTGTTAACTATCTATGTTCATGCAATCCATTCCTCTTTCATTGGTTTAACCTGCACAGAATAGCAAAATTACTTTTTGATGCTGACACTGGCTCAACATACCTTCTCTGTTAACTAAAAACTCAGGAAGATAGAAAAATTCTGGGATGAGCTCCTTCACATCAGTCATGGATTCATATGATGAAAGGCGCCAAGTTGTGTTGGTGGAATGAAATGTTCTGTCTGGAATATCAAAACTTTGATCTGTAAAACAAACCAAGATTAAAGGGGTTACATTGCAGAAAAGAACTAGATCTTGCAGTACAGCAAAACAGAACAAATATAGGTTAATTTTATCTTACTGTGTGTTCATGAACATTTTAAAATTGACCTGGTTTTCTGTGTTTTGCAGCTAGTCACCATTATCAACAATGAACTTATTTCTATGACTTCTTTCTATAAAATATGCTCAAGGGCAGCTCACAACGAGAACAACATAAACCTGCCCAGCATTAAACAATCAAGGCATCAGCATAAATATGTCTACCAGCACATACATGAACTGGACCAAATTTATAAGTAATTCCACAAACAGGTATTATAACATAATATCCAAACTTAACCAAAAATGAATACAAAACAATTTCTCTGAAAAACTGATTAATTAAAATCTACACCACAGGAATAGAAGAATTTTACCCTGGTATGCTAAAAACATCTTTGTGAAGGGAGGCATTCTAACAAGGAAGTGAAGAACTGTTCCACTATTGGAGTAATGAGATCCATAGTGATAAGGCTGCACAGGCGGCATTGGGTCATCTTCTCTGGCTCCTTTTCGATATTCTTCTTCTAGATACTGTTATAGAAAAGACCAATAGAAACACAGGTCAATTTCTGTCTGCAAAAAAACTATATCACCATTGCTCTTGCAGCACTAATGACAGCAGGTGTTTTTATTTCATTTTATGCATTTCATAGCCTGTCTGTAAATTCCTCTGAAATTACTTTACAGTCGTCAACATCACAATGTGATAACAATGAAAGTAACAGATAAAAACACAACCACTCAGCATTAAACTAAGTCATTTAAAAAGTCTGATGATCTTAAATTAAATTCTTGAAACAGCAGCAACAGAACAACAGACTTTGTGGTAATCAGGCTCTCTGGAAACAACTTTTTATTAAAGGTTGTAGTCATAATATAGAAGGCCCTCTCTTCAGTCATAACTTGCCTTACTTCTAAAGGCAAGAAAATTCCCAGAAGGGCCTCTGAAGATCATTCTAAATTGTCCAGAAAGAGCCTGCTCAGCAGATATGTTTCCAAAACATATAAGGCTGTAGAAATGAAAAACCAGAACCCCGAAGCTAGTTTACAATAGAATATCAATCAATAAGAAGCACATTGAGAGTCAATGAGCTATGTTCTCTGAGCCCAGGTCCAGTAATAGTCCAGCAACATTCTATTGCAACTGACTGGTTCAAAACTGGGAAAGGAGTATGACAAGACTGTATATTGTCTCTCTGCTTATTTAACATATATGCAGAACACATCACGCGAAAGGCAGGAATGGAGGAATCCCAAACTGGAATTAAGATTGCCGGAAGAAATATAAACAACCTCTGATATGCAGATGATACAACTCTGATGGCAGAAAGTGAGGAAGAATTAAAGAACCTCTTAATGAGGTCGAAAGAGGAGAGCGCAAAAATGGTCTGAACCTCAACATCAAAAAAACTATGATCATGGACACTGGTCCCATCACATCCTGGCAAATAAAAGGGGAAGATATGGAGGCAGTTACAGATTTTTCTTTCTTGGACGCCATCATCATTGCAGATGGTGACAGCAGCAATTAAAAGACACCTGCTTCTTGGGAGGAAAGCAATGGTATACCTAGACAGCATCTTAAAAAGCAGAGACATCACCTTGCTGACAAAGGTCCACATAGTCAAAGCTATGGTTTTTCCAGAAGTGAGAGCTGGACCATAAAGAAGGCTGATGACCGAAGAATTGATGCTTTTGAATTCTGGTGCTGTAGGAGACTCTTGCGAGTCCCCTAGACTGCAAAGAGAACAAACCTATCCATTTTGAAGGAAATCAACCCTGAGTGCTCACTGGAAGGATAGATTCTGAAGCTGAGGCTCCAACACTTTGGCCATCTCATGAGAAGAGAAGACTCCCTGGAAAAGACCCAACTGTTGGGAAAGTGTGAAGGCAAGAGGAGAAGGGGACGACAGAGGATGAGATGGCTGGACAGTGTCACTGAAGATACCAACATGAATCTACCCAACTCCGTGAGGCAGTGAAAGACAGAAGGGCCTGGCGTGCTCTGGTCCATGGGGTCATGAAGAGTCAGACATGACTTAATGACTAAACAACAACAAACATTGCAGTATTTTGTACTAACTGAAATTTGTGCGGTCTTCAAGAGCAGCCCATCATTCTGTACATTACAATACATTACAATGTTCTAAGATGTATCTGACACAGTTTGAAGAAATATTCAATAAAGTAAAGTAAGTATATGAGACATTCAAAGTTAACTGTAGCAAGGCTTTCTGCATAGAACAGGTTGCAGCTGGCACACTACCTATGGGTGCAATGGGACAAGGTCTAAGAACACCTTTAAACAGTGAAGTTGTTGCTTTCTGAACAACCCCATCCAGAAAAGACTGGATATCATGTCCCATTAATAAAATCTCTGCTTTATCTGAGTTGAACTTCGATTGACAACAAGGATCTTATCTTATCTGATGGTTGTCAGAAAATATCTATTTAGAGGATGAAGAATATGCCACAGTCTCCTCTGCTCTCTTTCCATCTAAGAATGTATGAAGTGAACTGGAAGACCCTATGTTTATTCACACGTAGCATTACCCTAACTTAAGAAAAAAAATCTACTGGAATAACACACCACTGGTTTCTTTATGAAGACTTCAGTTAAGATGCTTTCTTAGTTCAACTTAAACATTATTCCTTAAATTATTCAGGGTGAAAATGTCTGGTTCACCTGTAAGTTGCAAAATATATGTTACACAACCTGCATATTAACAATGATCTAATCTCCCCCACTTTAAAAAAATATTTGAAGCACATCCAAAAGCTGTCATTTTGGATGGCAACAGGAGCAGTTCCTCTCCCCTCACCTTTTCTAAAAATAGACTTTAATCTGTTTTTCTTCCTACAGGTTTCAGCTGCATATCATATAAGGCAGCTTTGAGTTATTTTGCCTCAGAAACAGTTCTGATTTCTTTTCAGTGAAGTCTTCTGCTGCAATTCTGGGCACATTTGTTCAAAAGCCTTTCCATTTTCCATGGGAATAAATCCACATAAATACGTATATGTTTGCAGTGTTAATGGTGATATATTAAGTAAATCCTGCCCAGCCATTCAGGATAATGGTAAACTGAACATGTAAGGAAAGGGAGACCTGCTATCGATATTGATGCTCTCTTTGCATGATCAACCAATGTGCCATCTCTCCACAGACTTAGAAACCCTGCTTTCTTATGGTTCTGAATTACATGGAGACCCTTCACTTTTCTTGTCACAATATCACTCTTCACATGAAATGAGTGACAGTGGAGTAGGTGGGCCTATGTTGCCCCTTCTTCTGAATGGCCTACTCTGAATGCCCAAATAGTGTTGCTGAGTGTCCAGATCTATCAGCAGAGCCCTCAGTGCCCTTCCAATGATTACTATTTACTGAGGAAGGGGGTTAGCCACAACAGAGTTAATCCCCAAGGAGAACAATAGTAGAAATTTACTCATAGAATGTAGCCTGAAGAGGATGGAATATACATTTTTCTTATTACCTAAGTAGGGGAAATGTTCTTAGAATCTGCCTCATGGCATTTAGTCTAAGACAGTAACTCACCAAGACTGAAGGAGTAGCTCAACAGCCCAAATATGATTTGGAGGATAAGCAAAGACAGCCAAACAAAACAAAAGAAAACAACCCTCACCCACTTAAAAAAAATCCTTCAAGCAACGTTCAGATCAGTCAACCTGCCTGCGGTTGCCACCAGTCAGTTATCCACAAGCGAAAGAAAGCTGAGGTATAATCAGCAGACAGTATACACATACAGTATTTATAGCACAGTATTACACAGAGCTTTTGCTGAGGTATAATCAGCAGACAGTAAACACATATTTATAGCACAGTATTACACAGAGCTTTTCTTCCACATCAGTTTGGCACTAAATAACAATGGGTTGCACATTTTAGTACCTTGTAAGTGTCCACATAACGATCTTCTTTTTCTTTTGATTGTACAGCTATCGGTTTGAGCAGATTTCTGAAACAATAAAAATATTAGTAGGCCATCAATGTCATAAAGTACTGATACCTACTGTGATTAAGAAATACTGCAGTGAATGTAAATTAAATAATGTTTGTTTACTAACAAATAATCCACGAATTTTATTGCAAGTGGCTATTTTAGCAAGTTATTTTGAAAAGAACAGTTTGTGAAGTTTCTAGTTACCTATAAACAGATGGATCATATAGGTCCAGTGTTTCACTAGTATAGTCAGAAAGTATAAAAGGAAATACTGGGTACTGCATGAGATCATTGAAGGAACGGCCCGCATGTTTGTTTAAGTGAGTGAGGTATTCAAAATTAGTGATTTGTCCTGTGTACCACAGGTGCGTTAATGCAGTAATGTTGCCATACTCCAAGAGATTAGGGAGGTTGTTTGTTAGGATGTTGTGGTGCACATCATCACGCACCTAAAAAGAATAAAAATGTCAAGCTTTAAACAAACAAATGATGTTGTCTTCTAAAGCATGCATATATCCAGCTTTCTAGGATATTCATATACTCATTTCAGTACTTTAGATTAATACCCAGATACTGTTTGAATGTTAATATTTATTAGTCTCAACAGTATTTTGGCAGTCATACAAGCATAAAATTGGTAATTGTCCTTCATTCCCAATGTCAGTCACACCACGAACTTTTTAGTGCATGAACTTTTACTTTATGAGGTAGCGTCCTTGTGCCATCTATGGAACAAGTTCTAGGAGAAATAGCTAAAAGTGAAGACTTAAAAAACTTCCCCCATGTGTAGAGCCTTATTCGAGAAACACAACAAAACTCCTTTCTGTTCTTTTTAAATGCATAGGAAATGTCTGAGTTTCCTCAATTGTTTGGATTAATCTATGATGCTAATATGTTCTTTTGAGTTGAATATTATTTATTTGATTAGTTGATTCCACACTTCTTGCTTTTGGCAAAAAAAATAATATAACATTCTTATGAAAAATATCATTTTCAAAAAATACCATTCTTCAAATTACATCAAGAATTTTAGGTAAAACAGAGAGTCAACTGATTCATAAACTATATCAATTCCTGCATACATCATTCCTGATATTGTTGGCTAGCTATGCCCTCTCTTTAGATAAATCAACCCTACCTACCATCATTGAAACCTAATTAAAATGAAACTGAATACAATTTCTCTGAATTCCATTTACCTTGTCATAAAATCTTTTAAAGATTTAAGTGCCTACACTTGTTTTCCCTCTTACAAAAAAAGTAAAAAAATGACTGTGGCAACAGACAACAGTGCTTGACTGAACCAAAGGAAAAAAAGCTTCATAAGCAGTTTTTTTCCTGACTCAAAATAATTAAAGCAATGAAGGAGCATTTGATAAGAGTACAGTCTTCTCCATCATCTCAGTCATTGTCTGCCAGCAGGGCTTGGAAACCAGAAATCGATCTGTGGTCCCACATTTCTCAGTTTCCAGCATATTACCTGTTACTAATAACTATTATGTACCATCAAGTCAATTAATACCTATTTAGAAAATGTATACAAACACCTGCTCAACACACAGTTACTACACGGTGGTGCAAAATATTTACCTTTGTATTGTCAAAAGCTAATAGTAGAGTTCTGCCATTGGTTAAAAATATTTCCACAGCATTGTCTCTTAATTGCCACCAACGCCTGTGTACTTCTTTGATTTCTTCAAATGTCCAAGAAAATGATGCTGGTTCAGTTTCTCCATGAAAACTCTGAGTAAAATATAACATATTGAGGTATTAGCCTTATAAAATTATATGGAATTAAATTTTTGATATGCTAATATTTGAACTCTCAGATAGCTCAATATAAGATTGTAAAGAACATGCATTAAAGTAAAATAATGAGAAAAACAGTGCAGGGAGAAGAATATATTGAATGAAGAACCTGGAAAACTTGTTTGGTTGCAACAGAACATTGTTGTTTAAAGCTGCTGCATCAGCAGTCATAATAGCTGGGATGATGTTCAGCCTCCAGTAGGAGGAAAATTAGGTTGTAGAAAGGCTGATTGTGGGCTAAATGCTACACCCTAGCAGATCCATTGGATAAAGGCTCATTAAATAAGCACTATATACCATGATTTACTCTACTTGGGATTAACAACTGGATGTAGCCAAATAACAGTATCACTGATAATGATGATAAAATCACAGAATAGAGAAATTGGAAGGGGCCTATAAGGCCATCAAGTCCAACCCCCTGCTCGATGCAAGAATACAAATCAAAAGATATCTGCCAGGTGGTTGTCTAACCACTCACCACTTCTTGAGGTAATTGGTTCCACTGTCTTACTGCTCTAACACTTAGGAGGTTTTTCCTGATATTCAATTGAAATCTGGCTTCCTGTAACTTGAGCCCATGATGATTATGAATTATTGCTTCTTCTTCTTCTTGATAATATGATACAGTTAAACTAACAGTAATTCAAAACCTTTCAAGGTCTTATATAATGAACATTTCTGAATGTTCGGTTCATAAATAAACTCTAATTCCATTCACTGCACATGATAAAATTATAGCCCTTGAAAATCAGAGAAATAATTGCTCCAGCTACTTGGATTTAAGTGTTCCCGTAATTTAAATGCTGAAGTAGGGAGTCAAGAGATAAAAGGAACAACAGGAAAGTTTGGCCTTGGAGTTCAAAACGAAGCAGGGCAAGGGCTAATACAGTTTTGTCAAGAGAACAAGCTGGTCATCACAAACGCTGTTTTCCAACAACACAAGAGATGACTCCACACATGGACATCACCCGATGGGCAAGACCGAAATCACATTGATTACATTCTCTGCAGCCAAAGATGGAGAAGCTCTATACAGTCAACAAAAACAAGACCTGGAGCTGATTGTGGCTCTGATCATCAGCTTCTTATAGCAAAACTCAAGCTTAAACTGAAGAAAGTAGGAAAAACCACTGGGCTAGTCAGGTATAATCTAAACCAAATCCCTTATGAGTACCCAGTGGAAGTGAAGAACAGATTTAAGGAACTAGATTTGGTGGACAGAGTGCCTGAATAACCATGGATGGAGGCCTGTAACGTTGTACAAAAGGCAGCAACAAAAACCATCCCAAAGAAAAGGAAATGCAAGAAAGCAAAGTGGCTGTCCAACGAGGCCTTAGAAATAGCAGAGAGGAGAAGGGAAACAAAATGCAAGGGAAATAGGTAAGGTTACAGAAAATTGAATGCAGACTTTCAAAGAATAGCAAGGAAAGACAAGAGGGTCTTCTTAAATGAACAGTGCAAAGATATAGAGGAAAATAATAGAAAGGGAAAAACCAGAGATGTGTTCAAGAAAATTGGAGATATTAAAGGAACCTTTTGTGCAAAGATCATAAGACGCACCTTTCCAAAAGACGCACCAATTTTTTAGGAGAAGAAAACAGGAAAATACAATCTGTTTTCTTCGCTCCATAAGACGCACAGACTTTCCACCCCCGTTTTGTGGGGAAAAAGTGCGTCTTATGGTGCGAAAAATACGATAGGTAAGGTTACAGAAAAATGAATGCAGACTTTCAAAGAATAGCAAGGAAAGACAAGAGGGCCTTCTTAAATGAACAGTGCAAAGAAATAGAGGAAAATAATAGAAAAAAAACCCAGAGATCTGTTGAACAAAACTGGAGATATTAAAGGAACATTTTGTGCAAAGATGGACATGATACGAGTAAAGGACAAGAATGGTAGGGACCTAACAGAAGCAGAAGACATCAAGAAGAGGTGGCAAGAATACACAGAGGAATTATACCAGAAAGATTGTCCCGGACAATCCAGATAGTGTACTTGCTGACCTTGAGACAGACATCCTGGAGAGTGAAGTTGTGGGCCTTAGAAAGCATGGCTAACAACAAGGCCAGTGGAGGTGATGGCATTCCAACTGCACTTAAAAGATGACGCTGTTAAGGTGCTACACTCAATATGCCAGCGAGTTCGAAAAACTCAGCAATGGCCAGAGGATTGGAAAAGATCAGTCTACATCCCAGTCCCCAAGAAGGGTAGTGGCAAAGAATGCTCCAACTACCGTACAATTGCACTCATTTCACATGCTAGCAAGGTTATGCTCAAAATCCTCCAAGGTAGACTTCAGTATGTCGACCAAGAACTCCCAGAAGTACAAGCTGGATTTCGAAGGGGCAGAGGAACCAGAGACCAAGTTGTTAACATGCGCTGGATTATGGAGAAAGCCAGAGAGTTCCAGAAAAACATGTACTTCTGCTTCATTGACTACGGAAAACCCTTTGACTGCCTGGACCACAGCAAACTATGGGAAGTTCTTAAAGAAATAGGAGTGCCTGATCATCTTATCTAGAATACATCATGTAAAAGGCTGGACTTGAGGAATCCCAAGATGGAATTAAGGTTGCTGGAAGAAATATCAACAACCTCAGCTATGCAGATGATACCACTCTGATGGTAGAAAGTGAGGAGGAATTAAAGAACCTCTTAATTAAGGTGAAAGAGGAGAGCACAAAAAAATGGTCTGAAGCTCAACATCAAAAAAACTAAGATCATGGCCCTGGGTCCCACCACCTCCTGGCAAATAGAAGGGGACGATATGGAGGCAGTGACAGATTTTACTTTCTTGGGCTCCATGATCACTGCAGATGGTGACAGCACCTGTTTCTTGGGAGGAAAGCAATGGCATACCTAGACAGCATCTTAAAAAGCAGAGACATCACCTTGCCAACAAAAGTCCGAATAGTCAAAGCTATGGTTTTTCCAGTAGTGATGTATGGAAGTGAGAGCTGGACCATAAAGAAGGCTGACCATTGAAGAATTGACGCTTTTTAATTGTGGTGCTGGAGAAGACTCTCGTCACCTGGACTGCAAAGAGAACAAACCTATCCATTCTAAAGGAAATCAACCCTGAGTGCTCACTGGAGGGAGAGATCCTGAAGCTGAGGCTCCAATACTTTGGCCATCTCATGAGAAGAGAAGACTCCCTGGAAAAGACCCTGATGTTAGGAATGTGTGAAGGAAAGAGGAGAAGGGGACGACAGAGGATGAGATGGTTGGACAGTGTCATCGAAGCTACCAACATGAATTTAACCATACTCTGGTAGGCAGTGGAAGGTAAGAAGGCCTGCCGTGCTCTGGTCCATGGGGTCACGAAGATTCGGACATGACTTAATGACTAAACAACAACAACAATTTAAACAGGCAATGAAAGGCTCTAATCCAAGGTTTGCCACCACAAGAGGATATAAGGTTGTCTCTGTGATTCCAAAAATCTCTACCAAGGAAGCATAGATTGAATTATTCTATCTGTAGTCCTTTTTGTCAGTGGGCACATATATTTTTTATTCAAACACACGCTTGGCATTTATACTGGGTAGCTGTTAAAAGTGTTTTTAATTGCTTTGATGCTCCCATGACATTTTAATATATTTTAACTGAGGCCAAACCCTGTGGCTTAGCATAGTAAAGCACACTAGAGTAGTACCACTGAATCAATGGGAAGTCAGCTCCTCCATAAGTTTTGCTGATTGAAAGGTGCCTGCTCTAGTGGGATTTACTATGCTAAACAACATGATTTTGGTCTGTGTTTTTATTTCTTTTTATGGTTTAAGGATTATATCTGTTTCCATCTGAATTTTACTGTTAGATGCCTGAATTTTACTGTTAGATGCCTTGAGTGCTTCCCCCCCCAAAAAAAAATGGTAGGATATCACTGAGTATTTTCAGTCAACAAACCAAACAAATCATCTATTTAGTTCAATGACCATATGGCATTTACAAAAAAGCACAAGAGAAGAAAAGACTACATGCATGGCCATGTAACTTGTAATGGAAGGAATTGACATACTGTTTACTAACATCTTTGGTCTGGTACACAAAACTTCATTTTATAATACTGCAATCTTCTTAGTAATGGTCTGTCTTTCCACAACTATTAGAAGTCATCACTCATCAGAGAAGTCTCAAAAAAGCTCCCAGTATAGGGTGAACAAGCTTCCTTCTAGTCTCTTACCAAATGTACAGGAGAACAGCATGAGTGACAATGTTCCAGTACTCTAGCACCAGAGGAGCATAGTCTTGAATATATTCCATATTCAATGTATTTTCCTACTTTGGATGCCCTGGGTTGGGGCTGTTTATGAAATGCTTACAAAATAAATCTAGTGTTTCTCACAAAATCAGTCATGCCACATGTGAAAAAGCCATGAGCCCCATGGCGCAGAGGTTAAACTGCAGTAATGCAGTCAAGCCTGTGCTCATGACCTGAGTTTTATTGTGATGGGCTTAGGTAGCCGGCTTGGGGATGACTCAGCCTTCCATCCTTCTGAGGCTGGTAAAATGAGGACCCAGATCAGGGGCGGAGGGGGGGGGGCAAAGTGTTCCTTGCATAATTAAAATGTAAAATGATCCAGAGTGTGCTGTAGCACTACAGGGAGGTATATAAATCTAAACAACAAGAACAATAATATGCCCAAAACAATTACAAGTTATTGCTGGAATTACAATTACAATATGAAACTGCCAAAAGGAAAGTCAGTTTATAACTTACTGAATGTTCAATTGTGTCAGAAGCATTATCTTCCACAAAGTACATGCCACATTTACCTACACAATGAAGAACATTTTTTTTTAAAAAAGGCATGCATTTTTTAGCTGTTTATTGCAAAATGACTACATATTTAATCTACAAGTAGGCTATCATCAGTAAATCAATGGCTGAAATCCTGTTGCTAAGAACAATAAGCTTCAAGCACAATAGGCCTATTTGAATCTATTGATTCATTGGGCCTACTGTAGTATAACATACTATACTAGGCAAAAGGATTTCAGCCAGTATGAGAATAAGTTTACATCAGATTTTCAGAAAAAGAATACTTTTCAGAATTTATAGGACTGGATTGTCAAGGTGTGTATTTCCCTTCTGTGCCTAACAGCTATTAATCTGACCTCTAAGGTATCAGTTGGTGATATTTTTAAATAGGCATTTGATAATAAAACTGCTGTAGGATTTTTCTGGAAACCACACCATACTTCAGTAGCTTTAACAATAGTACCTAGGTAAAAGGTTGCTTCAACAGATATAACTGTTACATAAACTGTGTGAAAGTAAACTACAGTAAAACTTTATTTTAGAAGAGTCCTTACTTCAGTACCTGCTATTCTACCCTGCTTCTTCATTATCCCCTCCCTCTGTCCATTCTGTTGCTGATTTCAATGATCACCTGACATTACACATCTTCTTACCTGGACTTGTATCACCCTAGACCGCAGTGGGAATGAAGAGCCAATATATAAAGAGAGACAGCTGACATACTAAGAACCTAGCTAGATGTGATATTAGAGATAATTGCTTTTAATAATATACGTAAATTCTTCCTTGTAAACAGTAGCTGTAGGACCTCTCAAACAGAATTGGTACCAATGTTCCCTCTGAATTTTTGCCAGCACTGGGTGGGGACCCTACCCCACATGCGCAGAGTTCCGGCCGCGACTGGTCCCAAATAAGTGGCAACAATTGCTGTGGGTGCGCAGCACTGATGTAGGATTGAGTGGCCATACACTTGTGCTGCTTGGAAGGCACATTGATTGGTACCACAAGTCCTACTGCAGTGTCACTGAATCCAGTTTCCTGTGAACATGCCTAGAAGTTAGTGCCTATCCTCCCCATCTCTTTACTCACATTATCAAAAAGGGTTAGAAGAGGAAAGGTTTCTCCTTGCATGAGGAAGAACCATGGAAAGTAACCGGGGGGGTTCTTGTTCACATGCAAGCAGGAAACATTTCTCTTCAGATTCCTCACTGACCACATAAAAAAGCAGTGAGGGCAGGGCAGGGATAGGTAATTCCTTCTAACTGTGCTGAGAAAACTAGATTCAATAATGTCTGAACGGAGCTACAGTATGCAAGAAAGTGAAGCTGATTTTTATATCATGACCCAGATCCCAATAAAAATCTTGTCCTGTGACTCAAGGAAAGCTTGTACACCACTGGAAATTCCCCTTCTGTGCTTAACAGCAGCTCCATGGAGGACAGCTTTTATTGGGGCCACAGAATGGGAAGGTATTATAACTCTCTCTCATTCCATGCAACTGAGGTCCTGATTGCCTTTACGGTACTTTGAACGAGACACATTATTAGATGCACACTCAAACTTAATGCCACGTCTAACCTGGCTCTAAGAATAATATTCTTTCCCCTGCTGTTACAGGAAAGGTGTTTTTCCAATATTTTCTACAGTATCAAAGTTTTTATATTTTTTATTTCTTAAAATTTGTGCCATTCCCAAAGCAACACCTTTTTCATAAGAGGACAAGTGCAAAATTAGAGGAAATAAATGTTCTTACCTAATAGCAATTCACCAGGAGTCTCTCTAGATGGTGCCACATTTATGCATCTTCGATTAACTCTGTAAAAAGGAAATATCACTGGCTCATTCTTCAATAGATCTAATACAAGTTGGAAACAGCTATTCTCAAAATTCAGTGTGCTAACAATATATTCACTGTGTTCCAGGACTTCATATATATCATTTAAAGGATTAAGGTATTCTATTTAGGATGAATAGGCTATTTCATTTTACTTTATAGAAATTTGATATTAACCTAAAAAACAGAACTGCAGAAAACATCTTGTTTTTAGTATAAATCAGATTTAGCCACAATTTGGAGAAAGGATCTGGATGAAATATTTCACCTATAGCAGGGAAGCTGGACTTGTGCCCTTGGAAGTCCTCAAGAAAATGCTGGAGAAGCCTCTGTAATAAGATTTTGATACAGGATATCTAGGCTTCCAAGGCCACAGTATCCATTTAGTACCTTTCAGTTTGGAATTACTTCTAATTCAGTGTTCACTCATCTAGACTTCCATTATCCGAGTGAAAATACGGACACACATCCTTTTCTCTGCTTCAGACTATCATTACACCAACCTACTGCAGCAGATTCAAAAGACCACTATGACACCTTAAAAACTGAGCTGAGTGAGAAGGCTGAATCCCAACAATCAGAGGATGACCTACTAGCAGAAAGGAGCTGTTTTGCAGCTGGCTGTGGCTCTCCATACCATTTCAGAGGATGGGGGGGGGCTTATGACTACTTGCAGGGCAAGTTATCAGGAACAACGGATAATCCCCTTATGTGAATGGAAACAGCAACTGTTCTAACTACAGTTTCTTTGCCTAAAACCTGTTAAATTTATTATGGCATAAACTTATAAGAAACAGAAGTGCTATTGTCCAATGGACGTTTACACAGATAACACATAGACAGAGAGAAGAAATTCTAAATGGTGGAGGAAAATGTCCAAGAAATGCCCTTCTACATACATCATATACAGTGTGCATGGACCAACCATTGACATCAGTGGTAATTTCCAATAGCACACAGTCTTTATAGTTTTATATAATATTACCAATTACGTTTTCTTCCAAGAGGCTATTGTTCTAGCCACCCCCATATACATATATCCGTCATTTCTAGCCAAAGACATCAGAAGGAGAGTAAAGCAAATGTCCTGGCTCATCTGGATATACCTGCCCAGGCAAATCAGGGGACTGGATAACTGCAATCCTGCATTTTATGCTAATTCTTTGTTATATATTTATTCGTTTTAAATAAACCTGATAGCCAAAATCAAATTTAACATATTTATCAAAAAACTAACCTTATATGCTCACTGGCAGCTTTGTCTTTTACAGTAGAAGAGTGAGATGAATGTGTTTTGTCTTCAAACAGATATGCCAGAGGGGGATTAATCACCTCTATCAAGAAACAAAACCAACCATTAATTTTTACAAACATTTCAGAGAAAATATTTGGATTCAAACAGGATATAAAAGTTACCTTCTGGTTTCTGTCTGTCTTTGAGAAGATACTTATTTGGAATAGTTAAGTAGCATCTCTGCAAACGGCGCCTCTCTCTATTAGGCCCTTCTGTTGGATCTAATTGCCAAGACGTTGGGTAGGATGCAGGGTCATACCAGAGAGCTCTAAAAGTAATAGCATTTGAGGAAGAGTTAGACACCACATTAGTGCTGGTTTAAAAAAACAGTACACCATGCACAAAGTCCAAGTCTTCTTGATGTTACTTTGGGGGTTCAACAGCTCAGTCCTGAAGACCTTCAAAATATTCTGACACATATAAAATGGACAGTTAGGCTCACACAGATGAGAAAAGCATAATCCCATCTTAAAAGATTTAAGGCTAGAGATAGTAATAATTCCGAAGCACTCACAAATTTGTGTAGTCTGGCTTTCAGTGACCTGCATTAAACTAGAAAAAGTAATCTTGACATGTGAAGTCTATTTTTATCCCACATCTTAAGAGACTTAAAGTTGCTTTGACTTTTGAAGGCATGACAGGTGAAATTCCATTTAACCAACATTCACATCCTGCATATTATTTGATGTGTACTACTTTGCTTTCTTTGTAAAGAAAAATAAATGCATTTATATTTATCTGTAAACTTGTTGCAGCTACTTTACTTCTCAGGCTTTTGATTCTGTACCAACAATGAAGCCCTAGAGCTCAAGCCATATATGCTGGAGAACAGCAATGTGCACTAGCTTGAGACAAAACTATCCAAGGAGGGTAGAGCAGGAATGGCTATTTGTACTTTTCCAGATCAGCTACAGGTTCTATAAGCCTGTAATTTGAAATCTGAAAAAGCCAATTGTCGGGATCTGCAACAATTGCTCTAGCAAAAGAAGGAAATGCAAAACAGGAGACTGACAGCTGAAGTCTTAGTGAAACAACAAATACTAAGCCCGGAGAGAAAGGGGAGGTTCAAAACAAGCCTCAACCGCCTCAATGTATTCCTAATCACTCAATGTATTCCAAGATGTTTTGCATCTAGGCACGGTAAAGAGAGGGCACTACATCACTTCCTAGACTGGACATGTTCTATCAGTTACTTCTTTTTCTCTTTTTAGCAGCCACACTGTCTTCAATGTTATTTGAAATTAGTGTGTATATGTGATTGTGGGACAAATGACTGGCTGTTTTATGTGGCCTTTGATTACCGTATTTTTCGCACCATAAGACGCACTTTTCCCCCACAAAACGGGGTGTGTGTGGAAAGTCTGTGCGTCTTATGGAGCAAAGAAAACAGATTATATTTTCCTGTTTTCTTCTCCTAAAAAATTGGTGCGTCTTATGGAAAGGTGCATCTTATGGCGCGAAAAATACGGTAGTTAGGTCAAGATAGCATTAGAAGTGATCCTCCTCCAGTGCTATTGTTTTCTATTACTGTATCTTTGTCTTTTTCCATGCTTGCTGCTGGCTGCTCCAGAGTGGACTCATAGAAGGATGGGTCCTTCCCAAAATCAATGGCAATACAATGGCACTGCCTCCATTCCAGGTCACACTATTTTAGCTTTCCCCATTCTGAATCCTGATCCAATTCAGAAACATACAAAGACCTGCATAAACCCAAGAACAAATCCGTTCTGGAAACCTCCAAACTGGATATGTGCAGAAAATATTTGGATGCAAATCAGATGATATGTCAATACATAGTCTTGAATTGTCATTTATTTGGACATGGATCTGGGATTTTTGTTATGTTTTGTTATGCTTTGCTATGAACTATGTTGAGAATAATGAATACTGAAAAGCAATATATAAATAAAGCTTCAATAACATAAGAACATAAGAAGAGCCCTGCTGGATCAGGACAAGGGCCCACCTAGTCTAGCTTCCTGTATCTCACAGAGGCCCCACCAGATGCCTCTGGGAGCACCTAAATCCCTGTCTCCTGATACCCCTCCCCTGCAACTGGCGTGAGGTACCTTCCTTTTAAGCTTGGAGATTATACATCCCCATCATGGCGTGTAACCTGTGATGAACTTTTCCTCCAGGAATCTGTCCAATCCCCTTCTAAAGGCATCTAGGCCAGATGCCATTACCATATCCTGTGGCAAGGAGTTCCACAAACTAACACCACTCTGGGAAAAGAAATATTTTCTTTTGGATATTCTCACTTTCCCAACACTTAGTTTGAGTGGATGTCCCTGAGTTCTGGTATTCCATGAGAGGGAAAAGAGTTTCCCTTTATCCATTCCCTGCATAATTTTATACGTCTCAATCATGTCCACCAGCATGCCAAGATTTTGTTTTGCAACAATTTCACAAATGAACTATATTATCAATCCATTTTTATATTTCAGGATATTTTCTACCTTTTTTTTGTGAGGAAAGGAGGAAAACGTATCCAGTCTAGTGTAGTGGATAGAGTGATGAACAAGGGCTCCGGAGGCCTGGGTTTGAATCCCCCATTAGCCATGGAAGCTCACTGGGGATCTGGAACTGGCAAAACCACTCCTTAAACATCTCACCTTGAAAACCCTACTAAGGTCACTATAAGTTGGTTCTAACTTGAAGGCACATAATAACAAAGGGGGAAAGAATGAAAACAACAGCCACTCACACACACCTCGAAGGGCAAACCATCCTATTGAAGCTGCTTACCTATCATGCGTAAGCTGCTGAATAAGCTCCTGCCAGTGTCTGCTAGCACTTAAGTCTGTTTTATACATTCCTCTGATGTGCTGAATCACCTTCTTTCTTTCCATTCCCTGAGACAGAGAGACAGCCTGGGTGATATCGCCAGCTATTTTAGAAATATCCTTGGACTTTGTATCCAGGCGCTGAAACAGACTGAACAGGGATAACTATTTTCAATATAATTTAAAAGATACAGGTTATTATTAACTGTAAGGAATCAGAATGAAACTGGGACTTGTAGTTATACAAAGATGTAGTCTGTAAGGTTTACTGTGCAGTTGGATTTAAACTATTAAAATGTTCTCATGGGATTGTTATTCTGCCTTGGCACTGAGATATGAAGCAAGGCTGAGGAGATTAGGGGAAGATGAAACAGCACATACCGCCTAATTGGACAAGACAGGCCACCTGGAAGATCTAATGTGAAATAGGTGAGTGGACTGTGTACACCCATTGGATCTTAATTGGATGACAGCTTGAAAGTGTCAGAAAGAAGGAGGTCTAGAGACTTATAGAAAAATGGTTGTTCATGTGTGTGACAGACTGATGGTGATGGGGTGATGTTGTGGAATGTGAGAAGAGAGAGGTTTGTCTTTATGAAAGAGAAGAGGGGGAGAGATTTGGCCAGCTTCTCTAGTGAGCGATCAGGTAGACAGCAAAGATGATTACTTAGCATAGTTCTAGTTGTTATTATTTTATCTATTTTATCTAAGTTGTTATTATTTTATCTAAGTACGCTTATTTTAATCACAGTAACCGAATGGATATGATAATGCTTTATGCTTATTAATGCTACAACTGTATTCTAATGAAGCTCCTTTATTTTCTTAATAAAAACAAATATAATTCTTCAACAGAGGACTGCACCTAAATCAAGTGGAGATTTGAGAAGGTCACTCATTGCTACTATACAGAGAGGTCCTACCTAGCCAGTCTGTTGTGGTTTCTAAGGAAGTGCATAATCAATGGTTGATTGCCTTGTAAGCAGGCAAGAGTATTCTTTTAGGTCAAGCTTTGTCCATAGGGCAAAGGCTATGCACTTCTGGGACTAATGGACCTGTCTCAGGCATAAAAGTGGTAGTCTTGCGCCTACAGTGACTCCTCACCCAAGATCGAATTCTCTTTAGGGAGAAGTGATTGTGATATTGACAGATAATTTGCAGTCTAATTAAGAAGGATTAAAATAAAGTTGAAATATTATGAGACAGTTTTAAAATGTGGTTGAGTTCCAATAGGCTGTACACAAACCAAAGCTTTTCTATCCTCCTTTTTCACTTAAAAATTCTTCTAAGGTTTGCAGATCTCTTCAAATTAGCTTTGGCAAAATAGATTAAAAAAAACCACTAGCCTCTCTGTGAATGTGTGGAAATGTTCATGAACTAGGAGGGCAATGCTGGATCCAAGCCTACATTTCAAACTATAATTCATCTGGTAATAAAAAACTTAGATTAAAACTTCATGCGGAAAATAGAATTTATTAACACAGAATTTATGTTAATAGTCCATTATGTTGACTACCCATGTTTCCCCACAAATAAGACAGGGTCTTATATTAATTTTTATTCCAAAATTATTATTATTACTTATTTTATTTATATCCTGCCTATCTGGTCGTGTCAGGACCACTCTAGGCGGCTAACAACATTAAATACAAAATACATTAGGGCTTATTTTTAGGGGACGATTTATTTTTTTCATGTACAACAATCTACATTTATTCAAATACGGTCATGTCATCTTCTTCTGGTTGCTGCATAATTTTTGGGGTAGGTCTTATATTATGAGCATCCTGAAAAATCATTAGGGCTTATTTTCAGGTTAGGTCTTATTTTCAGGGAAACGGGGTATTTTGTGTTTTCAAATCTGCCATACAATACAAAAGAATAAAAACTATTAGCTTCAAACAGATTTTATTTTCTGTTGGATTCTACAAGGGGTCTTCAGAGTCTATTCAAGCACCATTGTAGTAGGATATGACATAGGATATGACATGGAAGGATGCAGTAGGTTGCTAGGAACACGGGACACAGCACCACCATAATGTGTCCACCACCAATCCCGTCTCCCTTCAACATCTAACAATGGAATCCATGACATTTCACATATTTTCTGTTCTCTGTTCCCAGCAATGGCTGACATTGAGATGGGCAGAGATGGAAAAAACATAGTACAGTAGGACTGCCATATCCATTGGACTGGTACCCGTGTTTTCACTTATCCACTGCATGAAAATATTAAATTAAAAAAAACCCAAAATATATCTTTCCAAGGTTTATTACCAGAACTGGATACAAAAGGAAATCAGAGACTATTCTATCTATAGTGTTTCTATACCTGTGCTTTTTTGGCATCTGCGGGGGGGGGCGGCTTTGAATCAATCCCCCATGGATATCACAGTCCTACTGTACAAAACAATCACATAGTGGCAAAAAAGGGGCGAGCACAAGATATTGCAGCACCTTAAATACTAACAGATTTACTTATATGTCAGCTTTGGTCAATCAAAATCCACTTCCTCTATCTGCTTAAATATCTATTCTTTGGAAATTGCATATGGACTTCATTTCAACAATTTAAGGAGGAGAACATAAGGTATGGACTAGAACTGTTTTCAATGACACCCTGATATTTTTGGCAACATACAGTTCTATTCTTAGTGAAACTAGTAAAAACATACGTTTGACGGTTATTAGACATTGTCTTCTCCCAAGCAGCTTTATTCACATTTTCTTCTGCCTCATATTTCTTTTGATCCTGATAGAAAAATAAAATTTAAAAAAGTGGCCTGACTTTTCCATTTGTTTCCAATATATTCATATTAACTGTATCAAAGATTCCTTTTAAAACATTTCACTAGCCTCTCCCTTTCCTTGGCCTCAGTTCTGAGTTACGGCAACCCTTTTCAGGGTTTTCTAAATATACAGTACTCAGAACTGGTTTACCATTCCTTTTGTCTTGCGCAGTTTGCCCCCAATGTCAATATATGAAATGTTGTAAAATGATTAAGGGTTCTGGGCAGAAAAAGTTGCCCTAAAGATGAAAGTGCATTTAAAAATATGGCTTGGAACAACAGTTCACATTAATTATTTCAAAACAATTGGCCACTCTCCAGCAAGTCTGATAACAAGATAATCATATGATAGCATTGTTCTGGAAATTTTCATTCATGCCTAACAGTTTATTGTGGAAGTAAACTAAGGATTAAATTGAAAATATGTTGTAATGAGTAGAGTTGTTTATGTTATATTATAAATTGCACCTGTAAGTCTTACAGCATACTCTACTGGTCATCACAGTTGTCTACTCTTGCAATGGTCTAGTGTCCTACACCCCTTGATACCAGGAAGTCTTATTGATTTAAGGCAGTGGTGTCGAACTGTGGCCCTCCATATGTTCTTGGACTTCAACTCCCAGAAGCCTTCACCACCCCCTCTGCTGGCCAGGATTTCTGGGAGCTGAAGGCCAAGAACATCTGGAGGGCCACAGTTCGACACCACTGATTTAAGGGCTTATAGTCATAGACTACTAGTGCTCCAGATTCTGCAACAAATGATAGTCAAGACAATGATGAAAAACAGTAATGGCAGTTAGCCAAATATGGAGCAGCAGACCTCTAGAGGTGCAAGACTTGAAGGAACAATGGAATTTTCTACTTAAAATTGTTTAAACCCTAGAACCTACAGACTCTGGATGAGAGAATGTTTACAGATGGAGAAAGTGAAAACAACCTGAAGAGTTATAAATAGGGGGAGGATTTCTGTGTCATGTATTTTTTTTCCTAAAATCTATGTTTGAGTTTATGGGTGAGTTTGAACATGTTTATGAGTAATCTGGTGAGAAAGGCCTGATTACTCATAAACATGTTTAAACTTGCTTATGGGTTGAAATATAGGTTGCAGAGAAAATGTGAAATGTCATAGAAATCTTCCCCCTAGTTACAAACAAGGCGTTTGACTCTTCATAACAAGATGGTTCCATGCTGCATTACATATGCCAGATACCAACAACAATTACGTAGCAGAGCAGATGGACAGAGGCAACTCACAAACATCATGGATTTTCCTCCATAGATTTTAACAGAGAAAAGGTGAGCATTTAGAAAATGCATTATATTTTGTGTGAGTCTTCTTAATATGCCTAAAGGCTAAGAAATTTATTTTCTTTTTTATATACTTATTTTTAAGAACTTCAGCAATTTAGAAATGTATTCTCTGTATTTTGCTATAAGCTCCTGCATTTTTAGAATGTAATCTAAAGCATTTTTGCGGTATTTTATTGTACTCTTGCTCTTGTGTGTTGGACTCAAACATGATATAAGTTCTACCTATAAGTTTTAATACCTGCATCTTTTTACAAGTTACAAAGAAGGATATATTTTTAAAGTGTGTGTGCCTACAGTCTTCTTCACAGCTGTAAGACTTTTGTATTTTTACAATAACTCTGACATATTTTGTGCATATAGACCATAGAAGAAATGTAGACAAATAAAAGAATTAGACAAGCAGATGCTGCCTAGAATTATTGCAACAATGAAAAGACTTGTACTTTGACAGCTAGATTTTGATATGATTGTTGGTGATAATTTTGTTTCATTTTGGAGTTAACTGTTTTTGGGATAAATGACAGCTGTGACCAACACAAGCTTCTGATTTTTCCCTGGAGGTCTATAAAATTCTGTAGAACTCTTATGGACGGTTAAGCATTACTTTATTTAAACTGACACCAAGATTACACAAGCTGGCTCTTTTCCTCCAAGGCACAGTGGAGAACTGAACTCCCAACCTCTGGTTCTGCAGCCAGATACCTAACTTCCTAAGCTATCCAACCAAAAAAAAGTAGTGTACTGTAGCACAAAAGCTACAGTTTAAGGACAATATTAAATACCTTACATTGGTTGAAATGCAATAGTAAGCTGCAATTAAGAGTAGGCTCCTTGAATTGATGAAACTTACAGATAAGTTGACTTACCAAACCACCCTTGATTCAATAGGTCTACTCTAGTTGCAACTTATTATTGGATTTCAGCCATTAAGTATAAACATATCCTGATCAAAGCAGATATGATCCAGAACTATGTAAAGAAGTTATTATAGGTAAATATTTCAGTGACATTAACTTAATTAGGATCAGTAAGAAATGAGGATTACTAAGGAAAGTTGTTATACAGAATTACATACCTCTTTCATAGCTTTTATGAGGTCTGGCTTTGTTGATGCATCAAGAGGGATATATTTATAACCACAACGTTTTAATGCATTCATAAATACTTCCACCGATGATTGTTCTTCATTGGTTAATTCATCCTTGTAATTATGGATTAATTCAAACAAGTAGAGTGACAACTTGGGCCCATGCTGAAAAAAAATCAATCAATGGTTTTAGATTGTGAGATAATTCATATATTTATTTAATATATCCCCTTCAAGGATTGCTACCTTGTCGTGGCAAAGGGGCTTGAGTAATTCAGAGAAGCTATGGACTATGCCGTGCAGAGATACCCAAGACAGACAGGTCATAGTGCAGAGTTCTGACTAAACGCGATCCACCTGGAGCTGGCACTGGCAAGCCACTCCAGTATCTGTGCTAAGAAAACTCCATGGACAGACACAAAATGCTAAAGGATATGACACTGGAAGATGAGCCCCTAAGGTTGGAAGGCATCCAACTGAGGAAGAGTAGAGGGCAAGTACAAGTGGCTCAAGAGCTAATGAGGTGGTTCGGCCAAAGCTGAAAGGACATTCAGCTGCAGACGTGCCTGGAAGTGAAAGGAAAGTCTGATGCTGCAAAAAACAAACAAACAAACAAACAAAAAAACTGCATAGGAACCTGGAATGTAAGATCTATGAACCTCAGGAAGCTGGAGGTGGTCAAACAGGAGATGGCAAGAATAAACATTGACATCCTGGGCGTCAGTGAACTAAAATGGACGGGAATGGGTGAATTAAATTCAGACGATTATCATATCTACTATTGTGGGCAAGAATCCTGTAGAAGAAATGGATTAGCCCTCATAGTCAACAAAAGAGTGGGAAAAGCTGTACTGGGATACA